AGACTAAACATTCTGGAGGGCAAATGAAGGTGAAGCACAGCTTCGTATCTCACTGATGAGAGCCTTCAGGTGTCCACTGGAATCTTCAGTGTCCTGTCTCAACCAGTCATGCATTTCACATGCAACAACCATTGCACCAAGAAAACTCAGAGCCCTCAAGCCAGGAACCAGTTTGTCCAGTCTAGCCCTCGTTTTCAGAAAATCACACAGCTTCAGGCATCCTAACCTGCTGTTTACATTGGGGATTTAGAAGAAACAAGGCAAGTGCACATGTTTTCTTAAGGCGAGCTTTCAGATTACTTTAAATACAGAGGACTAGATTGGTTAGAATCTCAGACACCACAAGTCAGCTCAGCCCTTCTGTCTCTCAGGGACTACACACTAAGAACTTGCTACAGCATAGATCTACTTGAGTTTCATTAGCCCTTAAGACAATATATAAGTCTTCAAACGAATTCTCCTTTCTAAATTCTCGCTACTAAATAGCTCTAGTATAAATACATCTTTTTTTCCCCTTCATCATCTTATTTTTTCTAACAACAAATAAGTGACTGTTTACAAAAAGACGTGCTGGCTGTTTTGAGCCACAATATTGTGCTGTTTTGCAGAAGAGTATCATCTGGCAACTGAAATATTGACACTCCAGTCAAAATACATTGTATTTATTGTCTGCAAGTCTGTGTTTTAGATGAATTAATAACAGGACCATGATCAGGCCAAGGTCACTCGTCATTTAGGACCAATGGTGTGAACTCCTGAATCAGGGGAAAAGTACCCCTTGCACACACAGTGTAACTGTAAAGTGTCTGTTCTTCTTCCTTGCAGCTCTGATTCCATCTTGAACACTACAGAGGTTAACTTAACAACGTTTAGTGTCAGTGAAGGAAAGCGTTGAAGGGAAATGTGACTCTCTGTTCCTAACATGGGTAGTACAGCCTAACATCAGGATATTACCCAGAGGTAGGGCAGAAGTTAAAATACCTACAAACCCCCACTAGACACCCATCTCAGCACTTCAGAGGTTGTGCTTTCCTACTCCACTCACACCATGTCCACACGTGGCTCTGGGTATCATAACCTGTGTGTCATTGCACATATCCTAGTACCAGGTAAGAAAAAGGCGGTGTAAAAAGTTAAGGTAAACTAAAAACTACAGCTTTCTCTTAAGAGAAGAGCCTATATCCAGAACACAGAAGAGCAGTGGAATTATTTGTCATGTATCTGCGTATATTGTACATGCACACACACACTCCCTCCTTGGCACTGAATGCTTTCATGACAGGGTCTGTATACTCAAGCATCCATCATTGGTTACTATAACCAGTTTTCTAAGAAACATTGCCATAGCATGCATGTCCTTCAGTTTTTAAAGCAAATCACCATGCTCTTATTTCCGTGATTCCTATTGCAGGTTCACAGCTGAAAGATGCCTCATGAGTTAGTGGGATAAGAAGTTATGAGCATTTGTGCCCTCATGAGGAAGTTCTATTCCAAAAAATGTCTTCGATTGTTTCTCCGTGATAAACAGCATTGATCCAAAAGCTCAGATGACACCTTTTAGCTCAGATTTTTCTAACCCAATGTGGACTACTGGCAGGGAATTGGCAGGGAAATTAACCACAGATGGTAGCCAGGACATGCGAAATATATTCACTATAACAGAATAATTGTGCGGCAATACCCCACTGCCTCAGAAAGCAGTATCACTTGCATTCAATCAAGCAAGACTCTCCCTGCATTACTAGCAATTTTCACAGATCAAAACAAAGACCTTTTGACTGTAGTTTCAGCATCACAGGGAACACAGTGACTAAACAACGACATCGCACATTCACCACCAGAATGGCTCACAGCTTTGCAATCAGCAGCAGCAGCAGGGTCTGCATGGGCAAAAGCCACAATTTTTTTTCCCCTTCCACCATGTGCCAGTAAGTAAATAAATATACAGATACCACACAGGATTATAGTTCTTTGAATACACCTCTTGACAGAGTGTTCCCAGAGGCCTGGTTTGGAGATAGAGAAATAAAGAAGGCATTCAAATATCACAGAAATGCAACAAGTGACTCCGAGAAACTTCTACCGCAGCCACACTCTGTGCCGGTTGGCTATGAATGACTAAAAGCTGATGTAGGAAATGTACAAGTTATGTGTGTGAGACAGAGCATAGGTATGTGTGTATGTACATATGTATGTATGTGTGTATTAAAAATATTTTTATTCTAACATATTTTCAGCCTGGAATTACCAAGTGAGGGAAGCTGAAAGAAACAGACTGAGATACATGTGGGACTCGAAGAGCCTCAGCCTCTTTTCAGTTTACATTACAACTCCAGCAGCCAAAATGCTTGCATTCACGGGCACTGAAATGCAACTGGGAGTAGAAGAATTCACGCAGCTAGACGAATTAGAGAGGCTGAGCTTTGATGTCGAAGTTAACAGGTAAGTCCGTACATGTACTTATGTTGGGCAAGACTTTTCAAAGGCTGAAGTGTTTTGCTCCTATTGCTTTTGCTTCGAGGTGGGATCCTGACTGACCCAGGAGCCTTAAAGATCCACTTTTTGTCTATTGAGCTGCAGAACATTGAAAATAGTGTCAGGAAAATAGTGTCAGGGTGACAAATGCTAGTGAAAATGCTAACCACTGAAGTCAACAAGAGTAGAAACCCCGGAATCAGTGTTTGCTGCTTCTCATGGAAATGGAAGGGAAGAAGAGACACCATGACAAGAGAAAAGAGAGGTAGAAAAAAGCATGAGCTCCAGAAAACCTCACCATTGAGCAGCATCTTCCTTCTCAGAACCAGAGACAAGGCTTGAAACCTGGTATTTCATATCAAAGATGAGGAGACATTTGCTACCTGGTTCTTCAGACCCCCAGGCAAGACGAGGAACAGTAGTCCCAACCCACATGATACCTCAACATAAGCCTAATTTGGCACATACATAAATTATATTATACAAAGCAGCAGCATGGTTCCACATGAGGAGTTAAGGCATGTACTGAAGCAGTTTGTGGGAAGACACATCACTGTTGCATCTTAAATTCATAGTGAGGCTGAAAGAGAAGCAGTGTCTTTCACAGTTATAGAAACAACAGGGAAAACAGGAAACAGGCTAACTTTCAGGACCCAAGCTCTTCTTCAGGGCATGAAGGGGAAGATCATGGCCTGGCAAAGAGCTTAGGTACCTGCAATAGTGCATTTCTTATTGGTCCGAACTAGTGAAAAAAGGCACCTCAGCGGTCCTGATCTCTGGATTTGAAATGGGCATTAATAACTTGATCTCTGATTCCCTCTTCAGGAATTCCTCCTGTGATGTCAATTCACAACTACACAAAAGCCACCACTGTAAAACTTTCAAAGGAATTGCATTCTCTCGTGGGCAGAAATCACACAAAATCAAGGTCTCCCTGCAGGTAGCTCGGGCCAACTGGGGCCATAAGCAACTTCACAGGGTCGCTTAGTGCCCATGGAGGATTTTTTCCCTAAACCTAAAAGAACAATTTGGCTGTTAAAAGTTATGTAAATTTTATGCCCTAAAATGCTTACTAATTCAGGGATTTGTTATGACTTCAAATTTTGTTTCAAGCAAATGTTTAAGCCAGTGCTTAACTTTAAGCATCAGACAGTCCCCAGAAGACAACAGTAAATCTGCATGGTTGTGAGAAGTGACAGTGTACTCCCAAAAATCTTCCTCAGAGCCAACTTAGCTGTGTGCTTAAGTTTTCTGTTGAATTGGGGTCTTCTCTGTAATGTGTACCTGGGGATAACTGCCTAATTCTAGCACAAAATTGCTTCCCTGCCTTGCAAATCCCACATTCATCTGAGTGACTCTTCTTAATTATTGGATCTACTTCTCATCTCAACCATCCACCTTACTTGTTGAAGCACTGGCCACGTGGAACTAAAAGCAACAATGAAGTCACTAGTGAGCTTTGTGAACATAACCATTCTTCACCCTTCTCAAGGCAAAATTCATCAGCCCTGGAACTCCTGCCCAGGACTGGAGATAACGGACCTGTTCCACACTGAACTACCTATAAAATAACTCAGCTGTTCGATTTCTTTGCTGTGTTTATAGACATCTACAATGCAAATGTTTGCAGTAATTTTGCATACCCTATATGAAATAAATATTACAAGTAAATTCTAGTATTCAAAACTAAACAGTATACAATGTAAGGGATCAAGTTACATTTATAAATGCACAAGCATCAATACTATCTATTCAGCCTAATTCCTCAGCAAGCAAGCTTCAGCAATCGCTAGCTACACTACACTTCAGAAGTCATAATAAATGCTGGTCATGCCAAAATCTAAGAAGAAAAAAAACCACATAAATTCTCCACCATCCTCCCAAATGATACACAGTTTTTGACAGATACTGTAATAATATAGTAGTTTCATGACATTCATCAACACTGTCCAATATTAAACATTGAGTCTGGAACACAGGTGTCTATATTCTAAATGAACTCAAAATCATGTCAGCACTGTGTTCATACATAGCAAAAGCAGAGACAGAGGGAGTCTGTACCTGGACTCAGAATAAAGTAAGAATAGAGGCAGCTTTACTGGCAAAAAGGAGAAGAGGGAGAGAAGAGGAGCTGGACACAGCCCCACTTACAACTGTCATTGCAAAATAGTTTGAAGAAATAGCCTGGACTCTGTAGCCTGGTCTTGACAGCTCAGGCCTCAAAAATGGTCCCAGCCCCAAGAGCCAGTGATAACATGTAGGAGCTCTGCTAGCAAGAGCAGGTCACAGATTGTGCCTGCACAGGACAGAAAGTTTGCTATACCAGTGGCTCAAGGGGCTGTTTATTCTCTGTATCCTAATGTAAGTATTTCTGAAAAGAATTTCTCACAGCAGAAGTGGGTGATTCACAAGCACATCTCTTTTCAGGAAAGGAAAGATCACACGCACTGAATACCCTGACTCAACTTCATCTCACTCTACTGAATAATAAAATCTAGATCCTGCCCTGGAAATTTGCTTACACTTTAGATCATGCCACTTTTCTCATCTTGCAAAGAGGTTCGTGAAGAGGATCTTCCTAGCAAGAGCTCCTTCTCGTGGATGAGGCTATCTAGCAGGTCCTCCTGTCTGTAGTTGTGATAAACCTTCAGGAAAGCCAGAATGGTAATTCCCAGCCAAGTCAGCCAGGCAGCCCAGAGACCAAACTAGAGAAGAAAAGAAATGATAAAAGAGGTCAGTACTGTATTATAGAAACAAAATCAACTGTCCAGGTGAATATCAAAAGCTCAGCTGGATCAAAACCCATCGAGTCACATCAAGCTGCAGCCAGTGAGATCCTGGCCCCACTGTTCCTCAACTCTGTCAAATTATTCCTAGCTTAAAACGAAAAACTCTTTATGTACTAGAAAAATTGAAGCAAAAATCTACTAAGTACAATAAAGAATAAAAGAAATATATATAATCCAGGTGCATCCAATGAACTTCCCATGTATGAAATTCTGACCAGCCCAAAATTCTTGAGATTATTTCACTTCTGTTACTTGAGGACTACAATATGTTTTAAGACATTTTCCAAAACTTTCTTCCCAGGTCCTTCAGGCCTTCCACTACTCCTGCAGAAGTGTTAATTTCAAGGTTTCTTCATGCAAAATATTGTTGAGACAACCTTATAAATTAAACCTTTGCATTCTGGGGTAACTGGCTCACCTTAGTGTGAATGCAGAGAGCAAGAGAAATCCCCTACAATGCATCCAGTGCTTGGCATGAGAAACCTGGGCTTAAAGTCTCAGATCTGCAATAAATCCCACTACTAACTTAGTTCCTCTTGCTTATTTAGGGAAAACTCTGCTTTGATTGGTTCGGTTACTTGAATGTTAGCCTCTCTGTCTCAGAGGAGGCTCATTTGTACTAAGAGTCCTCCTGGCAGAAATTCCATTTCACTTCTGTGATGTTTTTGTCAAAGAAACATTAATCAGTACTGTATTTCAGTTTTGATATACTGAAATTTTAATTAAAAAAATAAAACAATTTAAACACTTGCAGGCAGTAATACAGCTATGTACTCTAATAGCCAATCTAGATAAGCAAAGGCCACTGTTTTTAAAGGGGGTTTATGTTCTTACACATCTTACGAACTTTGGAAATTCTCCTCGGCATTTCTGCCCATACTTAAAATTATGTCAGTTCATTAGTTAAAAAAAAAAGTAATAAGTTATTCTACAAACCTTGGAAATAAAGAGTTATTAAGTTGTCTTTGTATGACTATATCTAGAGAATTGGAAGCTTTGCATTTGTTTTTAAGCACCACTTCATTAATGCAGTATTATCTTAAAGGCATTCAGGTATCTACTACTGCTGTGGTCTTCTAAGCATGAAAGAATATATCTGGATTTAGCGAAATTCAGTGAAACTCTCAGAGTCATTCTGATGTGCTGGAAGGATCTCAGAGACTGCTTTTAAGTAAAGTCTACTCTCCGAAATTATTGCACTTATAAGGAATTGTTTGCTTTGACTGGTAAGTCTAGTCTGTTCTCGGGTTTTTCTTTTGACTGTTTCAAAGAAACTTATTTGCCCTCAGTAGATAGACCCATTCTCGTACCTTCAACCAGCTCTGTTTACCACGCCCTAGATATCAAAAACAATGATAAGGACTTTGCTCCCTGGGTGGTCCTTTCTTCAAACAGTTTCAATCAGGATTCACTTTGGCACTACCACATTCAGCTTTTGAATCCAAATGATGTTTCCCTGGAGCTGTTACGCTCCCATGCTCTTCATATTTGGGTATTTGTAGAGCTTGGTGGCTACACTTTGCAGGCTAGCTTTACTCAGGGACATCTGTAGGGATGTGTATCGGCGTGGGAATCCACTTCCAATGACCTGAGTTGATCCATTTACACTGTAATACATCTCCTCCAACCAAAGCACTATGTGCATTGGCCTTGCCTTTTTAGGCATGGCTCCCTGTTAGAGAAATGCCTTCTCTTGCATATAGACTGCAGACTGTCCACTCTGAGATCACACGCTGGACATGGATGTTTAGTTCCCATGAACTCAAAGCTATAGATTGATAACAGATTTACTTCTGTCACCCTCCCTCTTGCTGGACTGCAAGGAGCTAATGACAGAATCTGATACAAAATGCAGCTTGGTCTTGAGATAGCATCATATAAAGGGGTCACTTTTACAACACACCTCTGTCCTACACGCTGATATGTCCGAGCTGGGTGTCTAGATGTCAGCAACAGCAACAAAGATGCAAAACTATCTTGTGTCCCAGAAGCATGGTTACCTTCAAGGAGTGCCCCAGGCAAGCTAACGCCTCTTCCCACATGGGACAAGATAAGCAGCATGTGTAGGGTGCAGCCCTGCATGGGTGGGGCCATCCTCCCTGCAAAACCAGTACCTGCTGACTCACACAAGTGCTCAAGTCCTGGTGTTCGCCAGCTTTGGTTGCTGACTTAGAGTCAGCATATTCAACAGAAAGGTCTGACAGCCTTCAAGGTCTAATTTTCAAAGATTCGTCATAGAACAGCCCTATCTAAATGACAGTAATCTTAAAGTATTTGCAGTGGTCTGATATTTATGTAGCACAGACAAAGGCATGGAAGGCAGAGCTAACCCCATGACATGGTGCAGGGCAGACATTATTCTGAACAGCAAGGAAGACCTCCAGAGCACCCGAGTGTTGCAACTTGTGCAGAGCTCAATCTTCAGAGAAACAAAAACTTTTCTTCATGCGTACAAGATCAGTGACAGTCAGGTTTTGACACGTCCACATTCAAAACTATTCTGAATTTAAAACACAAACGTGCCCTTCACTGTCATTCTTATTCAGCACTTACTGAAATCAGTGGAAACATTCCCATTGATTTCAGAGGAATGGTAGTTCAGCTCCAGCAATCCCAGATCAATGAGCAAATGGCAAGCGAACTGGAATAGAACCATGACCTAGTCTGACCTACCTGTGCAATAGCAAACTGGTCGTAGAAAGCAGAGTTTTCTAAGTTCAGTTCAAGATCTATATCCTGCAATTCTTCACAGCTAACCAAGGAAGGCATTTGGAAGGGAAAAAAGAAAATTATTTCAGATATTCCAAACAGACAAACTAGATACTAAATGAAGCAACATCTTAACTGTTTTTCAGTCACAACACCATGTTCTATTAAAAGATATTTAAGTTATTGCACTAACCAGGTTCCTTGCTAATCTTCTTTAAAACTAGGCTAAAAAAGGTATATAATTACTTTCCTTTTTAAAAAACAATGTGTAATTATGCAAGTGATAAGACAAATCATCCAATCTACAAGTGGAATTGCAACAGTTGTTATGAAAATAGTACACTTAAACCCCTCTTCTCCTGCTAACCCCAAGCCTCCCACATAGACACACTTGGCATCACCCTAGGTTGGTTGCTTTACCCATCAATGAAACAAAATGTATGAACCTCCATTACCTTTTGACTTCATCAGGAAAAGCCTCAGAAGAAAGGATTGTGTGGGTGTTTTTGTTTCGGATACTCCAGCAAGGAGACGATACTCTGATGGTAAGATAGAGGCTGCCTACAGATTTTACAAATAACTTGGACTTTTACTGGTGTGAAAAAAATTCCAGGATTTTGAGGTTGTCTTTCTATCTCTTGGTTGATTTCTGCAGCCTCTTCACTCTCCTTTCCAGTGCTGTCGGTCATCTTGGGTTCTTATCCGAATATTCGATTAGACGTTTTTTGTAATTGAATTTTTAACCGAATATTCGAATAATTTGAGTAATCGTTGCAGCCCTAAACAGAACATTTACTATGGCATTTTACAACATATGACAATGTGCAACATAAATGTATGCTTTAGGTAGTGCATTTATTCAATATCATATGACATAAAATGTCAACTTTTCCTCTCTCTTCACTGTTATTTGTTTGATAGGAAAAAAATCTACCTCAGCTTATGTTTCCTATAAGGAGCACACACACCACAGGATATAGCAGACCATTTTAGGGTATGTACATTTTGTGCACTTCAAGAAAGCATCAACCATCTCTACTCTGTGCTTACGAAATACTTGCCATTCTGCAGCTCTCAGGGCATCCACAGCACAGCTTTGAAGCCAGCATCTTCACACCAGATTTTGGATGATGGTGCATTGTGGCACAGGCAGGATGAGTGACCTGCCTGCTCTCACACAGCGGGTCGGTGGCAGAGCCAAGACAGCAAGCCAGGAGCCCTGACTCCCAGTCCACTGCCCTGTTCACAAGATCACATTCCCCCCCATTCTTAGAGCATCTCCACATCTAGATCTCCATTGGAAATAAGACTTACTAAACTAAGGTATTTCTTTTGCAGATGATCATGACTCTTAAAGAGACCATGAAGTGCCAAGGAAATGGTACTTTTCGTTGTGGGGTACTAAATGCAAAAAAAAAAAAAAGTTTTAATTGCATTTTCTGTTCCAAATTAAAAAATCCAGATTTGCACATTACAGATGCCTTCTCCCCCTTGATTATCTTGCCTGAAATAACTACAGTTTACAACAGCACTGTTTATTTGTATATATATTCCAAAAAAAAAAAAGGAAGAAAATGTATTCTTCAATACTAACCTATTTGGCATGCTTCCTTTTTCGGTAATTGCATCACACCACATGTTAAATCCTACACTCACTATAGTGCTAGCAATAAATGTGATAAACACCACAAAGGCGCTGATCAGCAGATTCAGGAAGGCATAAAAGAAAGAGCTGCAATAAAAGGGAAGAAGAATGTAACTCATAAACGGTGGAAACACAACATCAGCAGTCTCTCTAAGCAGTGCACACTGGGCACAAAGATAGGCGTTTCCATTTGAAACATATCTGCTTTAATTAAGAACACCTAATACATTGAAAAACTAAAGATTATTACTTTGAGTCACATTATCTTTATTTTTAAGTGCTTTTGATTTTGTTATTTTTTTCACCATAAGAGGATGGGACTTTAAATCATAAATACTAGGTGGCAATTGTTCATACACAGCATGGCTTTCATTAGCTGTAATGATGAAAATCACCATTGTTAAAATAAATGTCATTAGTTCAAATTATATAGTAACTGGAACTAAAATTATTTCATTACTAAAGTGATAATTGGGACAAAAATTGCCTAGGAGAGCAGAACTAAAAATAAAACAACACAGTACTGATAGCTATAATCATTTTAAGCAACGTAACACAAGGTACTGCCACCATAGGACACGAATCTCAGTTTTATGGTCAATTTGCAGAGCAGGCCAGCTTCTCCTGGGACTTCTCTCGCTTTGGTGTCAGTATGTTATTTCTGCCAGCTGAATATCAATTTTCTTCAGCACCGTGAAGTCTGGCCCAACCAGGGCCACCCCTAGGCATGTGCTGTATTTGGAGTGGTAGGGGGTAGGATGCTTATGGTCATCCCACAGGGCCTACTCATCTTCCAGCCTCACTGCTTAACTGTCCCACTTAATTCTAGTTAGTGAAAACTTTCTAATCTTTTTCTGATTCATCTGACTAAGGCCTTCACCACTTGAGGCTGCTCTAGCGGCACTTGGAAAGTCTCATTATCTAAAAATGGGACATCGCCTCTAGGCTGGAGGAAGACTGGCAGCTCCAGGAGGCAGGTCATCCTACTCAGGTTAGGTGGCAATGATAAATATGAGAAAGTTCCCACCAGTGCCAATCTCATTATGCTGAAGACAGAAGGAGACTATTCACTCCAGAAAGCAGCCATTTCTTTTCCCTGATAGTTCATTAAATGAAAAGTCAAGAGGTTTTCTGAGTCAGTGTTGGAATCCTGGGAAGGTTCTGGGCTGGTCAGTCCTGATTTTTGCAGGTTATACACATGGTGAGATATATGTGACCTGAGGAGGTCTTTAAAATGAGATGAGGAAACAATTACTAGTGGGGTTAGGATGTTTATTTCTAGATTGATGTGGCATTAGAGGTGTTGTCTAGGTTCTCTCCAAAATGACGGTCGTCCTATCCCAACACTGATAAAAGTGAAATAAACGACTTTCCAAGAGTGCCCTTAGAGACTGTACTGGGAGCTAGATGCCAGGACACCTGACTTCTAGATGAACATTAAGATGAATCTTACTTCTGTCCTTTGGCTTCACTGGACCTGGAGGACTAGATAAACTCACCTCCACAGAGTGCTGAGAGAGAGCTGGTGCAAGCACACCATGTTTTTGCGCATTCACTGCCCCTGCCCTGATTTCGCACCTAGCAAGCCGTATCTACTGGATGCACCTTAGCATGGTTTGCTGGCCTGAGAGGCAGAAAAGACTTGACCTGTCCACTGAATAAAGAGTTTACACAAGAATTAGTAACAGCATTAGAAAAGTGACAGTTGCCAGGATCATTCAGTGGATCATCACCAGCCCAGGACCTCTAGTCCTCCTTCTACTTCCTACCCCGCAGCATAAGAGATGCCAAGGTCCAGAATCCAACCTTCCAGTGACAATTGGTTGCACTTAATTTGGACCAGGCAATCAGCAGCCATCACCATGTGCTGGAGATTCCTAAGGCCAGAGCATCCTGGCAGAAAATCAGCTAATTTGGCTCTCTACCTACCTATTGTTCTCCTCAGATCAGAATTTCAAGCTACACATTCTAGATTGAGTCAATGCCCTCTAACGATAAATGCTTACCCTCGAAGTAGAAGTCAATTCACAACTGTAGTAGTGAAGTATCTGAGTTGTCCCTCTACCTTTCAGCTGAGTTGAACAGTCCCAGAGCATGGCTGGCAGCAAGCACTTGCTTTGCCTACTCCCTTAGACAAGGGGTTTGAGACTCAGTTAAGGAAGATTTTTAGCAGTCCTAACTGTTTGAGAGCAACCATTCAAAGCCACTGCACATGAAGACTGGCCGCCTTGCCGGGATGCACAGGGTGCTAACCCTGACTTCCTCAGGTTGACTTACTGCAGAGCTGACCCAGTAGCAGTGATCCTAAAGGGACAATTTTCAGAGGCCTGCCCAATGGTTTTGAACTGCATAGCCACATTTGGAAGCAGGCCAAACATCTGATCCAAATTTTGCTATTCCAAGGTTTTTACTGCCGGTCTCTTCCAAAAAATTAACTAGTTCTGAACTGTAGAGCTGAAAAAAGCATCTGGATTCAACTAATCCTCTATACATATTTGATCATCCACGGAAGCTGAATTTAATTGCATTAATAAATCCATGGTTATGTTTAGATATTGTAAGTTAAGTTTTAATATGGAAATGAGTTTCTGATCTCTACTTGCTATAGCATGTTTTAGTGTTAGGCAGCTTGAGAGTGGTCGGAAAGAGACAGAGAGACAACACTGCTGCTCAGTCCTCAATATTACCAACATCAGGGTGCTGTACAATCCCAGAGCTGAGTAACAGTCACTGACCCAAGAAGCCTCCAACCTGGATAGACCTGGGCATGAGTTATTTACCCTTGGTGTGTTCCCTAAATCATGGGGAAAAGGCTTTCCTAGTCTAGTCAGCCTCCAGCATATGTTCCTGCCTTCCCACCTGTGTGCAGCTGGGTGCTCGGAGTGCCTTGGCTCCACAGCACCCACAGGCTGGGTTACCTGTGCCAGGAGCACTACCCAAGGAAGCAGGACAGGCCACCAGGGAGGCAATCACAGAGCACAGAGCTACTGAGCTGCTGCCTGGGCCACCAAGCCCCTCACTACACCTGCTGGTATCTGATGCCCCTTGGTTTGTCTGAGCATAGCAACAGGCTGGCAGTGCAGCACTGTGGCTGCTGCAGGGAGCACGCAGCTTTGCTCTCCTGGCGTAACCAAGCAATAGTCGTTCTCTGCAATAGTTGCCATGTCCACCAAAAAAGCAGGGTTAAAAACAGAGAGGAGCCACCAACTGCTCCCTTCTGCTTTGTTCCCCTCCCCAGCCATGTTGTTTCAACGTTTTTCATGCATCTGGTGTACGTCTGGAGAAGGGCCCACTTCGCAGGAACATGTAATGGGACCGTGGTCAGGAGGTACCTGTGAGAGCCAGGCCCCAGCATCGCCCCATAGCCCCCAGCACCCTCCATGCCCACCAGAGCTGAGCTGGCCAGATGCTGCTGCCAGCCTGCCAAAGGGTAGCAGGCACACAGCAGTGAGTCTGGCCTCTTCGCCCCAAACCCCTGCAGGGAACCATCCTCCAGAGAGGGCGCTGTCTGCAGGTGGGAGTGCTCGTGGCATGTATGCAGACAGAGACAGGCAATGCACCCCCTCACCCCAAACCCCTCAAGGGAGCAGGATGATCTGGGTGATGCCAAGCCCAGTGCTTCACTCCCAGGCTGCTCCCTCTTGCCCCAGCCTGCAGGAGGAACGGGCACCCACCTGCCCTCCCCAGGGATACTTACTCCTCGTGCCCTTTGCAGAGGAAGAAGAGAGTCCTCCAGGCCT